TCATGATACAACATACCAATCGAAAGTTAAAACTACACTAAAAGTGAATCTCGAATAAAAAAGCTACCCCATATTTATTAATCGAAAATGGCATAAGTTACTTCCTAAAAATTTTTATTCATTTTACTTTATTTGCCATGTGTAAAGGTATATTTTATTAAAAATTGTTATTAAAAAAAAAGTACATAATTAAATTTAAAATTTAATCAAGATAAATGCAATCAGAATAATGATTATAAATCAGTATAATCAGTATTTGCAGTTTTTCAACTATGGCGGTACATGGAAATTATTATTTATACTACAGTTAACCAAAGTTAATATTCTACTTTTTTGAAAATGAGTATATTGTGTTTTAAATTACTATAGAGGAAAATCAATAATGAAACACAAAATTTAAACAAAATTAACTTAATCAATACTTTAATTTAATTAGTACAAGCATTTTTTGTGAAAATCGTTTGCCATTCTGCGGTTAATGGAATAAATATTATTTCTAAGACGGTTCGAGCAACTCATGACATTTACTTCTTTCAATAAATATTTATTTCACTATTTATTTCATTGCATTAAGATGTCTTCAAATATTTATGTATATATTAAGTTTCTCCTTAAAGTTTTGATGCATCTATCTTCAGTAGACGACCTATTAATTTATGAAAGAGTATTATCCATCATTATGCCAATATAAGCCAAAAAATTTTTAATTTAATAGCATTGATACATATACTTACATATTTAATTGAATTTGTTTATACTTGTAATGTTTAAAACAATTTTTATTAATACAAAAAGTGATGACAAAACAAAAAAAAATTGAAATATTCCGAGCAACAACTTTTGCCACAACTTTTTCGATATTTATTCTAAAATTTGTGACTAACTATTATGTTTTCGATGTTTTACTAATGGTGGTTTTTACCACGACTAAAAAATATTAGATTACTCTAAAAATGTTCGATGGGCAAAAGCGTGTGCCCGAATGGAGGAGTGATGCGAATATATAGCTTAGCCTTCTCAACTGTCAACCTCACCTACCTGTGTCAACCCCCTGTTTTTCACATATGAAGTTCTAGCGACCGAGTACAGCCGGTATAACCTGAAAATATACAGTTGAGCGAAAATTCTCTAACTACTACACACCAATCCTATCTCCAGGTTAGCATCGGAATAATATTATCGCTATGTAACCCAGGGAGGCCAAGATTCACACTGGTCTGTATTGCCAAATAAAAAGAAGAAGAGAATAATTCTAGATTAAATCCAGATTCACCAATAAAACGCTATTATACATAAATTAATTCTGCTTTAAGAGGTCATTGTTCAATGCTATAGAAAATATTGCTCTACATTGTGTAACTATCGACTAATTCTTTTATATTCGTTTAGTTAAGCACAAAATTTATCAAATAAAATAATTGTTTACTATAAATTCATAATTTTAGTTTGTTTTTTTTTTTCTACTTTAAACTCAATTGTTAGAATTTTTTGGATACGAGGCACTGAGACTAATCCCTTTTAACAGCGGAAAACTCGAAATTCCTTTTATGACTTCAATGGATTTATTTAAACTGTGCTTCTGTGCTTCCTTCTCGTTGCTATTTTAATTTTATTTTTCAGTACTTTTAACTTGTTTAGAGCCGAATTTATTTACATTATTTTTTTCTAATTTAAATTTATGCTTCATTGAGTGTATTTGCGAATTAAATTCGCACAAATCGCTTTCCCAATAATACTTGCCTTCTCCTTTGTAGCCATAAAACTTTTCCTGCCTCGGTTTATGATTTTTTCATGAATTAATTTTGCAAAAGTTGCGCTTTTATCAACGAAACTCAAAGCAACAAAATAACGAACAAAAAACTTTGGCTTCAGTTGAATTATTTTATTTTATTTTATTTTGGCAGAAAAAAAATGGTTTAAGTCGAGGCAAAGTTTTCCATACAAACTCTGCTTTGTGTGTACATTAAAGGATTAAAGAAATTTACGCATACTCGTTGGGGCTTTCACATTGGGAGAGGGGCGCTGAAAAAAGGTATTTAAAATTGAAAGATTTATGCAATATTTATGCACAAAGCACATGAGAGTAACAGAAATTACAATATATCGAAACATGGAGTAAGTCAGCAAATTCACCCAAGACGCCACTTGAAGCATTGCTACAATTTCTGCAAGTGGGGGCCTTAATCTCCATATATGCGTACTACAAATTGTGCATTTCCCATCTTCACTGTCATTACACGATTGAAGTGTGAGTGCATGAATGTTGATATAAAATTTGATGCTTTTATTTATGTGTATGATTAAGCAATTCCAAAAGGAAATGAAATGGACATGCTAACCCAAACGCTGCGAAAGCACGGAAAAAGGGTCAGTTTGACCCACAAACACGCAGCATGTATCTGCTAGGTGTATCTGCTAAATTGTTAGATTGTTAGATTGTTAATATATGCGTTATTCAAGTGAGAAGATTAAACAACCATAAATATTAACTACATCTGCTCCCCAGCACCTTTGGCATTGGGGCACGTAAATGTGA